GCTGAGGGGTCCTCCCCGGCCCCAGGGGTAGAAGCAAGGGCGAGGGAAGGGGAAATGGGGAGACGGCGCAGCCCCTCCCCACAGGCGAGGGAGGGGAGGGAGGGCAGGGTGGGTTTCCCCCCCCCGAGTTTCTCTGTCGGCAGTCGGTCGCTGCTGGGCCTGCGGTCATGTGCCCTCCTCCACATAAGCTCTGCGTTGCGGTAATGACAGGAAAAAAAGCAGGTATTTTTCTTTCCGCAGCTGAGTTTACTTTGCGGTGCCTTCACAGCCCACCGTCGTTATTTTCTGTTCCTGGTTTGATAGCTCTGGTGGAAGTTACCCGGCCACGCTGCGCCTCGGGGGAAACAAGACGCTCAAGCAAGGAACGCTATGGCAGGGCAGCAAAAAAGGTGTAAAGGAAACAAGCCATGGTACCACTGCAGTTCAGTTTTATACCTCATGTCGCATTATACAAGGCTGCCCACACAGCTGAAGTTTATTCAGGGCGTGGGCAGTGAGATGTTCTTCAAGCGATTTGTCAGGGCAAAATGAAGTGCATTGGAAGTGGGGACCAGGCAGGAGCTCTGCCTGGTTTGGAGCCTCATCCCAGCTGCAGGAATGAATCAGGCTGGCAGAAACCTTGTGATTCACACCACGTATCAAAGTGTAAGTGCAAGCACAGGGGCAGGGCTCAAGGGAGAGGATAAGGAAGCAAGGTCCTTATGACAGCTTGGGGTGATCACAAGGCTGGGGCAGGGTGCCAGGCTGCTCTAGAGGCTGGGAGGAGCCAGGCTGCCTCCAGCAGCTGCCCAGAGCTGCTGCAGGTGTGAGGCCACCTGAGTACAGCCCTGCTGGCAGTGTGCCTGGCACCTGGCTGCAGGTCCAGGAAATGATCAGCACAGAAAATAACCTTCCCCCCCCCCCTCCAAACACGTGCTCAGAGAAAAAAGTTTGACATGTATCTTTACCTGGGCCAATGCCAGCCTATTTATTCCCTTTATCCTTGGAACTTCCTGATGTTTGCTGGGAGCTTAAGGGGTCTTGGCTAGCAATAGTCCCCAGCCTTCATTACCCAGGTCAAGTAAAGGAGACTCCCTTATACCTCTGGTAGGCCTTCATCTGAGTCTTTGGCCCATCACTGTTCAAGGTTCCTGAGGTGCCCGTACAAAGATGTCTGTGCACCAAGACTGGCCACAGTACTTTGTGAGTTCCTAACTATAAAATGGTGTGTGTAAGATACCTTCAACAGATCCCCGGCATGCTCAGGACCTATATGGAATTGTGTCTTGCTTTAGAGCACCAGCAAGTGCCAAATGTTGTGAATTTGGTAGGCTCAGGCCTGGCTATTAGTTTCATTGGCTATTGGCTTTTAGTTCTGGGTGAACTGTATATTGATCCAAGGAGAACAGCACAGTGTAAAAAATAGTTAGAGCTTCCAGCTGTCCAAACATAAAGTGAGAACACCAAGTCTTTTCCTTTTAAATTGTTTTAAACAATAGTGGCAGGCCAGCACATTGACCTAAATTACCACATAAGAGGGGGTGTGCCAGAAAAGGTCTAGCAAAAAGGTATTTGGAACAGCTTTGCAAGGTCACACTGAGTTCTGGCAACTCAGTTATTCAGTCTGACAAATTCTCTCAGTGCAAATTTATTCAAGAGAAATATTCCTAGCAAATTGCAATTAGTGTGGAGGTTTTAATCAAATCAGAATCGTACATCTTAGACTGCAGCAGTTTTTACCCAACACTTCCATCCCTCAAACTTATCTATAAGGCCCCAGGTAGGTAAGGATGTTGAAATAAGCATGGGCTAAATAAATTGGTATGGGCTAAAGATAGTTCTCTGTTACTGTAATCAACAGAGGTTTTTCCTCTTAAAGATTTCTCACTATTTACCTTAGCTTTTTCTCTGTAGCTTTGACACAAACAGAATGTTGTTGTTTTTTTTTTTTTTTCTATTTAAAGCTGTCATGATGGAAGGGAACATATCTCTGGATATCTGTTTGCTTTGTGTTATTTTCACTTAGGAAGTACATGTTAAAGATACCATGTTAGAAAGAAAAACTGAAACACTGGAAGGATCTGGCTTACCCATTAGTGGTCTCAAGCTCTTCCATAAATTCCCAAGCTCACCTTAAATATAATGTATTTTGCTATAGGCTAAAGTAATGCAATGAAAACTGAGAATAAAGAATAATGTAAAGGGCAAGTGTCACACCCACTATGCAGGCTTGAAAAACATGAAAAATATAAGAAGATGCACACATTAGAAGCACATTAGAAGTGCTTAAATATGTGATGAGGTGCTTAAAAGTTTTAAGGGGCCACTGAGCTTGGGCTAATCAAGACACAGTTCCTGTGATTATGGAAAGGGTATTTCACTGTGAGGAAGTACAGACTGCACAACATCCAATATTGCTGGTTCATGAACTGAATAGATGTCTAGATGAGGATTGCGTGCTTAAACACAGACACAGTAATTAATCCGTTCAGAAATGCATGGTAGAGGGGTGGTACGCAATACTGGTGCTAGTAGGAGGGGTACGAAATGGAAACACTTGGCATAAACAGAGAAGCTGAGATCATCACCTTTGGACTGAATAATGGGACAGCTGCAAGTAATACAAGCTCTTAGTTCTCATAGATCACTAAATGGGTGCAGTTTATACTTCCGATAGTACATCAGTAAAGAAATCCAAGTGATGAATCTGGTTTCCAGTTGAGTTTTATGGCTGGGATATAGGTGAGTCAGGTCCTTGAAAGGGCTGAAGTTAGCAATCCCTATAGCAGCCAGTTGTGCCTCTCAGGGCCTGTGAGCACCTGCAAGAGACGTAGACCTTAGAAGTACCAGGGAAGAGTTACCATGAATAACAGTCCACAAGCATTGGTCATCTGAAGAAACTGCCCACATTTATTTCATTCTTCAGAAAGATAAGCTACTAGTTCTGTGAACATTGAAGGTAACGAAGCCTGGTTTCCTATGGATTTGCCTCTCGGTTGGCTGGCTATTTATCTGAATTATAATAATATTTTCTGTTACGACTGCATATACCCAACATCTTCTCCTGTGGAGCGTTTGGCAGCAACATGCAGGTTGCCACATTCAGAAGTGGAAATCTGTAGAAATTTCCTGACTGGATAGAAAGTTATTAGGTGTTAACTCCTAAATGTTCAATCGCCAGTGTCTCACCTGCCTGGTTATGTTTTTATGAAATTTGTATGAATGTTATTATCTCTCAAACTTGGGTGAAATTGGCTGACACCTTCAAAGTTACTGGAACCTGGGACACAGAGAGAGAGAGGCAGGGCAATTGCATAAACCTTGTTTTCATATAGCCTACCAGGCTAAAAATGGATGGCATGCTATCCGAATGCTGAGCTACGTACAGAACCCATTTTGGTCTCCAAGCTATATCCAAGTCTGGGAAAACAAACAAACAAACAAGAAACTCCCCCCCAACAAAACCAAACAAAAAGAATGTGAAAATAATCCTCATCTAATTTAGAGTATAAAGTAGCAGTAGGAGGGATTGTGTCCACTTACCTGTTGCTGATGGGAGAGAAGATACTTAAGAAATCCTGTAATTGCTTTAGGTTCATCATTACATCACTGGGGGTTTTGTATATAAGGAAAAACAGGCTTTGCAGAAGAGTCTGTGTGGATTGCATTCCTGTTTTTTTTTCCCAGGGAATAAGTACCTGGTTATCCTGCCAGATTGTAAAGATCATGTTTTTCCTAAATTTCTCTCTATCACTAGTTCATGAGGACACCCAAAAGAAAATTCCTATTTTTGATTCCCTATACCATGGTTTTCTTCGTGAGAAACTTCAGAAAAGAGATGCAAGTTAACCTGTTAAAAATAAGAACAATCCTAATTTTTAGCTATTTTGCCCTTGATTCAACAAAATGACAACAGTTCTCATTTTTCTCAAGTCATCCCCATCCCAGGATGCACCAGACTGAGCTATACGGTGGTTGCAATGGTAACTTGTGCCAGGTTTCATCATTGAAGGGTATCTAAAGTCACACTCAGGCCAAAAAGAAACA